TAAATATAATTTATTTGTAAGTTACTATAAAAAAATTTGAGTAGTTTAGTGGTTGGAGTATAAGCCTCTAACACTAAGGTACTATCTGGGTTCGAATCCGTCGAGTGACAAAAAATTAATTTGGTAATGCTCTAAACTAAAAAAAATATGATAAATAATAAAGATATAATATAAAAGAGAGAGGACCTAAAAAAATATAATATAAAAAAGAGGGAGGATTTCTAGATAAATAGAGGGGTTGGAAATAAATAAAAAATTTTGATTTAAAAGTTAGGACTTTCAACGTTGGTTCTGGAACCGCAGTTAAAGGCCTTCCGAACCGACGTGGAAAACCTTATTTGTAGTAGTGTTTTCCGGTTTTTGGAATTTAAAATAAGTTTGAATAATATTAAATATAAATATATATATATATATATATAATATTTTATTATTTAATATTATCAATGTTTTATATTTTAGTATTTATAACAAAAATTCAATGAGACGAAAATTATATGTATCTATAAAAGTTAGAAAAATTTAAGAGTTATAACTCCTCACACCCAACAAAAATTCCAGTCACTATTTATATACTCTTTATACTATTTAAAACCTATGCTATTATTCATAACAGCTAATAATGCACCATAAGATTTCATTATAACATAAGTGTCATCATAAATAAACAAAAAAATAAAAGAGAAAATCTTTTACAAAATAACCTTATCCTTATTAAGTGAAAATACGTAGTTATCATTTGTACACGATATTTCTTAGAAAGAGATAAATACCTATAAGTTAAAAAACAAGTTTTAAACTATATGCTTCTCTCGCTACTTTTTATGTTAATTAAAAACTTTTATCTAAAAATAAAAAAATACAGTATTTTTTTATGAGAATTTTCATTTTACTCATTTTCATTTTTGTATTATAATAAATACATATATAAATAAAATAAAAAAGCACATAAAGATAAAAATGTAAATAAAAAAGTAACTGATATGGAAAATTAATATGCGTTTGCCGGGAGTCGAACCCGGGTCTATTGCTTGGAAGGCAATTATCCTAACCGTTGGACTACAAACGCTTGATGTAATGAAATGATTTTGTTTATTTAAAATTATTTGTAATACAAATATTCGTACCTGTCAAAATCAATATGCTGCACATTAGAAAGAGGCAGAAAAATTGGTGTGATTTTTTTTAGCAGTGTACAGGAAAAGAATTCTCAGAAAAAAAACTACATTTATGGAAATTATAATGTCAGGTACTCTTAAGATCGCAAACTATATATCCTTTAGTGTTTGACTGAAAACCAAGAAAATTTTGGTCTATTAGCAAGAATAGTACTAATATATAACATAGACTCTTATATTGTCAAGGTCACAAATTTTATTATGTAATTTTTCAAAGGGAGATACATTTCCAAGAAAAGGTGTAGACATATAATTTATCAAGCTGGCAACATAAGTTACAACATATATCCATAACTGAAAAGAAAAATTAGATTGAAAAATGACATTCAAGAGGTGTAGATTTTCCCCTCACTCAACAATGACATTTTTTTTAGGTTTTCCACACAACTTATTTTATGCAAAATTCCTTTAGAATCAAAATACCTCTTCATATCAAACTCATATCCATTATTTGTTATAATAATTTTGATAGCAGTGAAAAATTGATTTTTCACGTATGCTATAAAATTAATAAGATGAATTTGTGTTTCAAGCTTACGTTGCATTAATAGTTAAAAAATATTTATGATTATGAAGGGATAAAGCAAGGTCCCTAAATATCAGGAACAAAATAAAAAATTTAACAAATATGAGAAACATTACGCGAGAAGATTAATATTTTTGTTTAAGCTCTTCAATTATCAATTCTAAAATAATCAATATAAGAATATTTTTGTTTTAAAATAGTAAGTTTATCATCAGACAAATTATCTAACCTATTGTTCCAGATATTATTATTGTCAATTTTACATATTTGAATATTATTAATCAAAGTTTTAAAAATATATAGAACAACATGCACCAATCCCTAATTATGCAAATATTATTAGAAAAGACAATCTTGATGTCAAGAGAAGAAACTAATTTGAAAATGGATATCAGATTATAAGCATTTTTTTTAATAAATAAAACATCTTTCATCAAGATTTTATTTATTTTAACACTTCCTCTATGAGTAGCCTTAACTTTGTTCAAGTTAACAAACAAAATACGAATCCAAAGACGGGGTAAAAATGGGTTTAGCTAATGGAGATATTAACTATTTGGAGAACCAATAACGCGTAAACAACATAATCAATCTTCTCATAAGAATATAAATTATTAAGATTGGAAGTAACATGTTGTTCCTGAATCTAAAATCCAATTTTTGTGATACCATTAGAATTAAAATAATTAAAACTAAAGTTTCTTTTATCTTTAGCATAGACATTTTACCTTATGGGAAGTAATAGCAGGAATTTGGTTGGCATGAGAAGCTGTAACATCCTTATCACTGTTGATTTGATTAATCAGAGTCATTAGAGTATAGTTTGATATTGTTGTTGAGTTAGCCTTATTTCTTGATCTGCATTATCAATATTCAGATGTTGATTTGTGTCCACTACAAGAAAATCGCGTATTACCGACGGATATTTACCGACGGATTTGTATCCATCGGTAAATAATTATTACCGACGGATATATCCGTCGATAAATCCGTCGGTAAATGACAGATGAAGTTACCGACGGATATATCCGTCGGTAAATCCTTCGATAAATTAATAATTAATTACCGACGGATATATCCGGTCGGTAAATTCATTTGTAAATTACCGACGGATATTTCCGATCGGTAAATTATCAATTAGTAAATATTCAATTAATTAAAAAATTAAATATTTTTTATTTAATAATTTCATTTAATCATAATTAGATTAATTTATAATAATTTCTTAAATTAAATAATTTTAAAAAATAAATATTTAATTATATATAAATATATATAAATATATAAATATATATAAATATATATAAATATATAAAATATAAATATATAAATATATATAAATATATAAATATATATAAATATATATAAATATATAAAATATAAATATATAAATATATATAAATATATAAAATATAAATATATAAATATATAAATATATATAAATATATAAATATATAAATGTATAAATATATAAATATATTTGTATATAAATATATAAATATATTTGTATATAAATATATAAATATATTTGTATATAAATATATAAATATATTTGTATATAAATATATTTGTCTATAAATATATTTGTATATAAATATAATTTATTTGTAAATTATTATCGAAAAATTCGATAAGCTTAGTGGTTGGAGTATCGCACTCTAACTCTAGATGCTGGGTTCGAATTTTGCCAATAACAATTCTCTTAGTATGTTAATAATTGAAGCCTATAAAAATATAATAATGAAAAATAATAAATAATAAAAATATAAAGGGAAGGAGTATTTTATAAAATAAATAATTTATATATATAAAATATTTAATAAATAATAAAAATATTACCGACGGATTTTTGGCAGTCGAAAATCCGTCGAGTAAATGGATATTACCAACGGATTTTTGTTATTACCGACATCAAAATTTCTTGTAGCAGTCTTGACTCTTGATAAAATTACTTTTCCCATTGTAATGTTATTATACTGATCGTTTAGACTTCTTAGAAACTACATAGCATCATCTTCAGTTTTTCTCCGTGAAATCAAAGATGCAACCTCGCAAAAATATTTTGTACTACAACTCCAAATCGGATCTAGTCTGAAGTTCTCTGGCTGATCCCCTATAACTCTAAGTTTTATAAAAAAAAATTGCCACCTGTATTCCCCTTGTTTTAGAGAAGTGGCTTCCAACTGTAGTTCAAAAATTCTCAAAATCCTTGAAAAAATCTAGATTTCTAGTTGTTCCATATCTCTTGTGTCTTTTCCATCTAGATTATGCTTTACCTAATGGGTGGTAACACAGAATGAACAATCCACAACATAAGACACATCATCCTCTTAGGTTCAATAAGAGTTTCCTCAATAAACTCAAGTTTATTCTTTGCACTGAGTGTCGTGGTCATATACTTACTCCATCAATGATAGTTTTTAGAATCTAAAATACGAGAAACAAATTCTTATTGGGATAAAAGTACAAATAATTATGAGCACACAAAAAAAATAGTAGAATCTTCAGCCATGATGAAAAGAAAAAATTCAAAAAACTAAAGAATTAAATGAGAGAAAAACAAACAATCAGCAACAAAGTTTTTCAATCGAAGAGCTCTTCAGCATAAGAGCTCTGATACCATTTTAGAGTTTCTGAGGTGACCAGCAAATCTGCACTTCAGACTTGTTAGAATCATGTTTTTCTTGTGATAAAAGCTACGTGTGAAGGAGAGGAGAGGGAAAGGAAGAAAAGAGAACTTTTATTGATAACAGAGAGGTTTACAAGATATCAGAAAGACTTGCAAAAAGAAGAGAAAATAAACGCTTATAAAGCCTAAAAGCAAGGAGATAACAAAAAAAATGAAAAATCCCTCTTTTTAAGTGTTAGGCAGTTGGAGAAGTTCTGGGCCGCCTGTTTCTATGTTATTCTGATAATTTGTGATAGAAAAAGTCGGTTAACTAAGTCCGATAATTTGTCACCAAGTACACACGTGTTCAAGGTAACAAGATTTAAAGATATTATGACAAAATCAAAAGAATCTTTATTTTATCTTTTAAAAAAAAAAAAATTCGCCTTAATAATAGTTTAAATATCGAAGCCTTGAAGAGACCAAAGTGGAAATAAAATACACGGTAAGCAAGACTAGTTCATATTTGACACTCGGTAAAGTTAAATTTATGATAATATAAGCCACGTGAAATAAAATCTACTATTGTAAAAATATAAATGCTTTCAGTTTTATTTCCAATTTACAAAATTAAAACTTACAATTAATCCTCATAGTTTACCAAGTTACAATTGGTATCCTAGTTTCTTTCTTAAATCAAAGGCTCCTTCTCCTCCTCCTCCTCCTCCTCCTCCTCCATCAGAATGCGTTTCAAGCTTCCCTGGGGTTGAAACTTTACTTCTCCACGATCCTTCTTCCACATTGAATACATGAATGAGAAGGATATCCATGTGTAAAACTCAACCTGATATATACCATAGTGCCATATGTTCATCAACATGAACCTCTTAGACTCCACCGACACTTTTGAGCATGTGTTCAAGTACACGTACCCTTCAAACAACCATACAGATATAACTCCCAGCACCAGATTCACGAGAAATCCAATTAGTTTCCTCTTTCCCTCTAAAACCTCTGAAGCCTTCTTCAATGCCCTGGTTCCACCAATCTCTTCACGAACCGATATATCAATTGCCAAGTTCCCAAAAGTGGCCACATAAGCGAAGATTAAGACACCTCCTGCAACGAAAATCATTGTGCCAATGTTGCTGGCTAAGACTTGACTGAGATCATGTTGCTGCTCACAACTAGAATTAGTAATCAACTCCATCTGCCGATGCAAAACTAACAATCCGAAGAATGTATAAGCCAATTTAATTATCCTTACCAAGAACCACGTAACAAGTAAGCTTCTGGCGGGTTTAGTAAGTATTAATATCAGGCTTTTGATGCTCAACTCCGCTTCTGAATCTACTTTTTTCTGTGAGGCCAAGATATAGTAAATTGGCATTTGCAAGGAAAACATAGATATGCCAAGAACGGTAAAAGCTTCGACTTGTGCAATAAATGAGACATAACGAAAGGTTGCGCCTACAAAGCTGTTCAGGTCTTTACTATTTGTGAGAAAAACATTGGATAAATGCCCCCAGACATAGAAGCTATAGAAGTAAGTGGGAGGTATGATCAAGAAACACAAGAAAATTGTGGATATATGAGTTTATGAGTAGTATAGATATCTTGGAGTTTTCTCAGAAGTCCTGCCAAACCCATTTAGATCGAGAAAGGGTTCAGGATATTTTTGGAAGATGTTGAGCTTATCAGAAACGCTTCTGAATTCAACTATTTGAAAAGTATACACATATAATTATAAATGTGATAAGGTTCCTTGACAGTGCCGAATGGTGCAGAAAGCATTTGCTTGGGACCACCATTCACACGTCTCTGCATTATTTACCATAATCCTTTCAGGATTATGAAATTTCTTGAGGTAAGACTTTTTTCATGAACAACTGCATTGGTGATTTTTATGTACAGAGAGTGTTTCAATTATTTGATCAAATCCCTGGCCATGTGTCTGAAGCTCACTAGCCTTAGACAGCGACTACACGAAGTAACGATATATTTCCTATGGTGCTGATATCTTGACATTACACTCTCGTTCTACATCCATAAATAATAAAAAAATAATATTATTTGTGTAAAAGGAATTGTCAAAATAAAATTTCCTATTTATTATCACACTTCTTCTATATAAACACTCTAAAATTGAATCTAATAATTTAATAGATATAAAAAATTAAAATTTGTATTATTATTATATTAAAGTAGATTATATACTACACGTACAATTTCAAAAAATTGTTAAAGATATAATTTTTCCAAAAACTAACCTATAGACCGAGAAGCTAAAGAAAATAAGACAAAAGGACAATTATTTTTTGTCCTCTAAGCTAGTTGTTGTAAACGTAAACTTATCCCCATTTGAATAAGATATTAAAGTCACCAATTTAAATATTTCAAGACTCATTCAATCTATTTGGAAAAAAAATTCAAATCTCAAATTAATACATATAAAGAATATAGAGAGGAGTAATACTTACCTAGTAAACCAATTTTGTAGAATTAAACTAGGTAAATTAAAATTAAACTCATATTATAACATAATAATATTATTAAAGTCTATTTTAAATTTATTAAAAAAGTCATCTGTTATATCATATATCCTAACAAATCGGAAGGTTCTTAGAGATTTGGATAACTTTTTTTGAAAAAATTACAAAAAACAAAAGTATCCAAAATAAATTTGGGCTATAGATAAGTAATGAAACTCGATTTTCTTTTCAAATTTTAAAGTAAATAATAGAAATCGTGTGAAGCTCGTTTTTTTTTTCTTTTATTTTGTAGTATTGAAATGGTATTTTTAAATACAAACTCAATACAAAAAAAAATTATTCAAATCATGCTTTCAGATATGTTTTTGTTATTAAAATGGTCATATTTTAAAACATAACTTCTATTATTTGTAAAAATATGTGTTTTAAAACGCAATTTATTTTTTAGTTTAAAGTTGTGTTTCAAACATAATTTACAATGGCCGCCCATAATTTTGATCTATCCATTTTCAATAAAATACCCTCAAAATGTTAAAAAAAAAAAAAGAAAAAAAAAGTCAATGTTTGATTCTATCATCCATTAGTGGTGACACGCGTCTAGTGGTGACGGTTGTTAACATTTTGTGGAAAAATAGAACGGTGTAGAAAATTCATATTTTGTAAAATTATTTGTCCTCTTTTTCTTTCGCTAAACATATCGCATTAATTCCATGATCTCATTCTCTTAATCTTAACCACACAAAACGCAAATGTTAATCAACTAATACCATATTACTGAAAATAACCTAAAGATTTAGTATAGAGAAGTTAAATAAATAAAAACACTTCACTCCTTCTTCGAATGTGTTATATATATATATATTATTAATGACTTTAGAACTAAGTAATAAATCATTAATAAATATTTTATTATTTAATATTATTAATTTTTTTAATAACAAAAATTTAATAACACCAATATATATATATATATATATATATATATATATATATTAAAAAGTTAGAAAAACTTAAGAGTTATAACTCCTGACACCCAAAAAAACTCCAGTCACTATTTATATAATCTTTATACTATTTAAAACCTATCCTATTATTCATAACAACTAATAATATTAGGGGTATAAATGGAAAACACATTTCATAGTACATTAAAAAAATTAAATAAAAAAAACACATAAAGATAAAAATGTAATTAATAAAAGGTAGTTAATGTTATAATTAACTTTATAATAATAAATAAATAGAAATATTAAAAAAATTACAAGTGAAAAAGTAATTAAATAACATTTTAGCTGCCATGGAAATGTAATATGCGTTTGCCGGGAGTCGAACCCGGGTCTATTGCTTGGAAGGCAATTATCCTAACCGTTGGACTACAAACGCTTACTGATGAAAGGTGACTTTCCATTTTAAAATAAAAATAATATAAGAAAATATAAATTTTTAATTGTCGCTCACACTCAACTATGATTAATCAAATATTGAAGAGTATTGTTTAAATGATGGTTGCTGTTACATACATTTTACATCACGAGGCATCATTTTAATTGATCTTGCTCACTTTCTTTCCTCGTGCAAAACATATTCTTATTTTATTCTCAAACAAAATAACTTTTCATGCATATTTTAGATACTTTTATCTCTCAACTGATTATATTTTACTTATTTATTCATTAACTATAGCTTTAAACCATTAAAATATACAAATGTTGTCTTTACCTGAGTAATTGGGTTTCGTACTCGAGTTTTATGGATAAAAGAAAACGTGGTTATAGAAGGATTCTCCAAAAATATAAATCAAATGATAAATTTTGACATATATTTGTCACTTTTAGAAAATAAATAAATAAATAGAATTTTCTACAAGTTAATTTAATTTTTATATAATTTTAATATATATATATATATATATATATATATATATAAGAGAATTTTTACAAATTAATTTATACATAATTCTCGCTTAAAATTATTTATGGAAAAAAAACTAAAAAATGTGTTTAGTTTAATAATAAACTATCTCTATATATAAGGACATAATTTAATTATTTTACTTTTAATTAGTAAAGAAAAAAAAACAATTGAAGTAATTTGTAAAAAATAGGTAGAAGTTACTGAAATTATTTTGTTATGAAACAAACTAAAAGACATATATAATATTTTTTTATAGGTATAAGTTTTATCTTCTTTCAACATTTTATTCAAACTTGTTATTTATTACCTTTTTTTCTCTTTTTTTTTTTACACATGATCTCCAAAAAAATACTTGTTTGAATTTTAGTTATCATATATTCTCTTCAAACATTTAATTCTTCTTTACTCTTATCCTAATTGGGATTACACCATGAATAAGTGTGTTTCATTTTAATATATTTTGTCTTTTATCCACAAAAATAAAATGATATAAATTAGTCTATTATAATTAAAATGGCCTATAAATCTTAATCTATTTAACCAGTGAATAAGATCATGATAAAATATTTATACTGACCCAACTTGATCCACTAATTTGACCATAAGTTGATTAATTTCAAATAATTTAATCTATTTTGTCATATTAACAAAAAGATTAAATCGTCTTTATAATCTACTATTTAGAAGATTTTCATGATTTTCTTAAATTTCTCATATTATGTAATTTTTAATTATAATTATAATTCTTTTTTATCAAATAAAAAATTCTTTCAACCTTAACTTATATAAAGAAATGTTATTAAGATTAATCATTATATTTAAAATATTATTTATTTTAAAATAAATTTGATTTCATTACGTTTTTTTTATTAAAAGATATTTATTTAGATTAACAAATTAAATATATAAAAATTATCATTAATTTTGTTTGTGAAAAATGTGTGATTTTTTTCCATGCCATATAAGAATTAAGAAATAGGAGTAACCTTAAACTCTGTTTATATATATATATATATATATATATATATATATATATATATATATATATATAAATAGACCTCAAAACAGATAAAGTAAGATAATATAATTAAGTTCAATCATTATTAATATTTAAAATTAATTAAAACTATTGATTGATAATGATTGTGATGAGTCTCAAAGTTGTACACGAATAGAAATGGATCTTAATTGATAATTTGTTAATTAATATTTTGGATAACCATTATTAATAGTATAGGTAAAAAAACTGATGCAAAAATTAAGATTAAAGGTAATATATATTTTTTTTAATTCACTAAATTATCTTTTAAAAATAAAATTAAAATAGAACCAAGTTTGAGTTTCATAATCTGTCGTATAATAATATTTATTGATACTACCAGTATCTTCTTAACCGATTTTAAGATTAATATATTATTGAATAAAAAATATGTATATTATTGAATATAATATATGGTCCATTTATGAAAGATGTTGGTGAGAGTTAAGAAGGGTAAGAAGCAGGGTGCACACACTACACACCGACTATTTTGAATAGAATCAGAATGGAAAACCAAGCTGGTCCATAACCCATTGACTGGACTTCATCCTTGGCGGCGTTCTTCTTTTCTACTCATAACACCACCAAAGAAAGTTAGAGGAAATTACCTAAAACAGGAGCGAGCGATAAAAATGTCAAATAACACTCTACTCCCATTCTCACTAATGGCCCACCCTTCTTCAACAATACTAACACACATCACCTACCTATTCCCCTATTTCAAAAATAGCCCTCTAATTTTATTAACATAAACAACATAACATATTGGAAAACCAAATACATTTAATATAAATGAGATTGAATTGACACAATTGAAATAAAAAAATTAATATCGAACTCACCACTAAAACTTATCGTACTAAATGAGCACAATGTTAATATTGAAGTACAAAAATATAATTAAGTCAAATAAAACTCAACTGTTAGTTTATAAGTATAGTTTATAATGAAAATAACAAGATTAATCAGATTTATCAATACAATACATAAATTCTGTCCGTGATTTATTGGAATAACATTGTTGTCCATTTTATTCAATTTGTTTTTGGCCGCCTGTTTTTGTCTTCACTTGGCAAGGGACCACGCTTCAGCGAAACTTGAAGACCAAGTTTTTCTGTCCTTTCACTGCATTTTATAGGTCCTATATAGCACACAATCAACTTCAATCCATCTATAGAACAAACATTACACCCTCCATATCCTGTCTTATTCTAATTCTTTCTCCTCTCTTTCACTTTCCACTTCCATGGCACACCTTCGCTCCCATCTGCTTCTCCTCTTCATTCTCTTCGCTTCCCTATGTTCCTGTCTAGAAAGTAGAAAGCTTCATCTTGGAGCACACAAACCCGGCAATAAGGTTGACCCATCCTTGTTTCTCAGTTCTCTTCCCAAAGGCACAGTCCCATCTTCCACACCCAGCAGGAAAGGCCATTCCACCGTGGTCGATGAGAAACTCATTGCGCGTCACCTCATAAGCACTGAACGACTTCTTCTGCAATCTGTTCCTAGCCCCGGTGCTGGTCATTGATCACCTTCACTGTTACTATTTGTTCCTTCGTCAACTGTCAAAACATTTTTTTATTTGTTCAGTTTTCTGATATTCTTTGTGCGGGAGAACGTACATTACCATAGGATCAGGGATTTATAGTTGAATGTATAAACGTGGTGGGAGAGTAGTAGTAGTAGTAGTAGTATACATGGCTCTTCTGTTTTTTTTTTTTTCTTCTGTGGGTGGGTTATACGCAATACTTTTGGATTCATCATTATTGAGGGGAAATATGTATACATACATAGTTACAATTCTGTCTTCTGCATGTTCACCTTAGTTTGGTCTCTACAGAAAAGTTTTACATAAACAGAGTCTTAATTGAAATATTGCCTTTTGAGCCTTTGGAACGTTAATAGTTTGTTCATTAGGAGAACTTGTTGCATTCAATTCAAACTTTGTAAAGCATTGAAAAATTGTGTCGGCAGTTTTTTTTTTTTCTTTATTGGTAAATAATAATTGTTATTATGACACTATTTTTTTGAATAAAAAGTTCTTCAATTTAATCCATAATGATATCTCATTACCCATTTTTAGTGTTTTGAACCTATGGGAATTTTATTTGCTGATTAAAAAGAAAAAGACCGTATAAACGCAGTGGTCTTCCACTTCGTTGTGTTTTGGCAAGTCAGAACCAAAAGCGCCAGAGAAAAACGCGTGAAAGATGGGTTGTTTATCTGCATTTCGTCAAGTTAGATGGGGATCACCGTCTTGTGTCATTGGTTATTGCAGTTTGTGATGTTACACTTCACATTTTTTATTAGCAATAATTTTTAGTATAAACCAGGAATAAAAAATGGGTTGTGATTTGTGAACTTCACGTTTCAATGATAAACGTGAGCAGCAGTTATTCATTGACTTATGTTAAGCAGTTTTCTACTTTTCATTTTTTTTCTTTCCTCCAAAGAAAATGTCTTTTTCGAACCAGGGTTACGTGCTTGAATGAAATATTTTCTCCCACTACAAAGTCGTCAACCACGTACATTTCTCCCAGCACACAGTGTGCATTTTTTTGGAATCAAGAAGTTTCATGCTTTATTTCCATTTCGGTCCCTTTCAATTCATTTTCAAAAGATTTAATTAAAATTCCAGCGCTTTTAGTAGAGTTTACGTCATTGTATAATCTTGTATTTCATTAGAGAAGGTATCCATATTTTCAACGGGTTGGACGTAGAATATTGGGTTCATTTTGGTTTCTTTTGCATTTCCTATTTTCTTGTCACTCATTACAAGACTCTCACTAAGAAGCAATCTTCAATTCTACTTGCTTCACCTTCGTTGTTTCAAAATACTGAGCAAAATCTAGTAGAGGCAGAGAGCACTGAAACAGAGGCTAAAGTACCCATTTTGAACTTGAAACAATTAGTTTAAATTTTCATGAGTGAATCTAATTATTCAATGGTTTATAAACATACGATTCTGATCTTGATTACAAACAACCCTTGGATTATGCAAAACTCTGTCTCTTCACTGAGAAAAGGTTAGGGCGTTACGGCTATATTATTATTATTATTATTATTATTATTATTATTATTATTATTATTATTTTACAAATGGAAAGAAAACGAAACAAAAAGAAAGAATTTATATAAATTTTTTTACTGATAGAGAAATCAAAAATGAAAATCACGTGTAAAGTTTTCTCGTCCAACAAATGATAGCAACGTAAGAATTGCTACTCTAAACCAACACAAGGGCTCCACAAACCACCACCCACTTGAAAAACATGAACACAAAAATCAATTTGTCTACCTTGTGTTTCCGATTGTTTTGATCCAAAACTTTACAGGTTTCAACATAATTTCATAAAAGAATCATAATATAAGGAAATAAATTATATATATATATATATATATATATATATATATATATATATATACACACACACACATTAACTTTTTTCCTTATCGCTATTAATTTTAAATTTAAATATATATAATATAAAAGTTTTTTAATCTTATTTATTATAATAAATATCTTCTTAACTCTAACACCTAAATCAATTCTTATAATATAATTTATATATTGATTAAGTGTATCAAAATCCTAAAACATTAAATTTATAAATTATCACGTATCATATTCAAAATTCTCAATTAATTAATATTTATACTTCGATATGGGTCATTTTATATGTTTTCTCACAGGTATAGACAATCTTTATACACAATATAATCATTCTTAACGTTTATCCATCACCACTTTAGATATATAGGTACATTATTATTAAACCCTAAAACTTACTTTGTCCATAAATTCTAAATAATCATTGTCATAAATTTCCTAAAACTTAGACATTATTGTCAACATATTTAAAATATTCACATAATTTTTTATTCATATTAACGAGATTCATTGTTATTTTCACATTCCCAATAAATACTTTTGATAATCGATAGAGTAAACTTTTAGTTCTAATGTCATTCATAGAAAAATAAAAATAAAATGAAGTAAAATACTTGGGAAATATCATGAGACTATATATAATAATATTACACTCTTTCTAAAACATTATGGATTTATGTTTAGTATAAAGTGAAAATCAGTTTCAGTGTTATCACTCCAATTTCACATTCAAACTTACACTTCACATAATATATGTTCTGCAAATTGATTGACTGAGCCAACTAAAAAAAAAAAAAAAGTTTTACTTTATATATCTAGCTGAGCATACCAACAAATAAATCTGGAAGAGAAATGAGGATTAATAAATAAAACAATTTAAAACTTAAACCAGCAACTTGCAAATTCAACGCAATCTTCGCATAAATTACCAAATATTTTAGTATATCTAAAGTTTGACAAAATCAGGTTCTACAAGCACATGGGAATAATAGCTAGGGCATAGGGGTAGTTGGGGTAACGTGGATGTTTTACATTAGCTTGTTTCGGACTGAAAAAATTAAAAATTGTACACAAGTCGGTGAGAACAAGAAATTGTTAGCGAAAATTCTTGCGATGTGATCGTAAATTCATAGGAGCTTTGGGAAATGACGAGAATGAATGACTAAATTGAAGTGAGTTTAATGAAGACACTTTCAATTCAAATAAGATATGCATGGATCTTGTTTCTTTCAAATATCTTGAGAACGTGGAACACTGTAGTTGGATTAGACAACAAGCGTGTCAAAGTTCTCAAAATTCTTCGTCAAACTATAAAACCTCCGCGTTGGCAAGAATATGTTTCCCATACATGCGATCACCTTTAGTGGTGTGTCTAATCCTCGTAAAACACTCGTTCGTCGTTATAAATTAAAAGCTTATAATTAAGTTCTTTATCAATACCATTAAAAACTAACTCGATATTTAATTTATGTGATAATCTCTCCAATTTCCATATTTCTCTTCATATTATCATGTCCCTTCTTCATAAAAAAATTTAAAACAATTAAGTTATCAATCATACTTTTCATTAATTTCATAAGTTATGAATCGTTTATATAATAATTTTATTTCTTTTAAGTTTATCCAATATACATTATTAAATATATGCTTATCCAATAAGTGGTGGAGTTAATGTATTGAAACATATTTAACTTACATTGTTATTACGATTTAAATGTAAATTGAATATCAATAAACGAATGGCCTATTAGCTCAGTTGGTTAGAGCGTCGTGCTAATAACGCGAAGGTCGCAGGTTCGAAACCTGCATGGGCCATTTTAAGTTCTATTTTTGATTTTCATGGTTATCTTAATTAAAAAGTTGAGCAATAATAAAATGATCAGTTCATATTTTTATTTACATATTATAAGTAAAAAAAATTTATAAAAGATTATTTAATAAAATAAATTATGTAGTTTATGAATATTTATAAATTAGATTGCAATTAAATAATTAAACAATTCTCAAACCACTCAATTAAAAGTATTCATAAATCAGTTAAAATTTTAAAAATTTAATGAACCAAAACATAGGCTTAACTACTTTTAGTAATATAAAGGGTGATTATTTTGTTACCCTTTTTAGAATATTCAGGGAATTCTAAAATTGATTTAATGTATCCCCTTAAATTTCTCTGATGAAATTTAATCAATTAATTAGTTTAATCATTATGTTGAGCATTCATATATCCCAACAGGTTTCAGTTATATTATAAGAGACGGAATGTTGAGCAGAGGTTGTAATATTTTATCCAAATCTTACTATGGTTGATTAGCAAAACAGTTCATGTAAATTAATATGTTTCATAATTTCTATATAAAAATTAACAAATACATAATAATGTGCTTAATATATTTAAGTTTGGTGTAGTAAATCAATAAATTACAGATACTATTAGTGATTTTGTTTAATTATTTAATTATTCTTATTTAAAATTTTGATTAATAATGTGCTAATAATTTGTGACCATGTCCAATTTAAATGCACAGGATTTATATAATGTTTTTTCTTGAATTACGTTCTCTGATCGACTCAACTACTATTTGGGCTTTACCTGGGCATGAGCTTGTGTTATTTGGGCCAATAGAGTCATATTCTTTAAGACCGCAAACTAGTCCTTCTTAATAATGGCGACTTTGGGGTTTGTCTTTGAAATTTTTCTCAAACTAATTGGTGTTAATAATTAACAAATGCTACATGGTGAATTTTCTTTAACTTTAGGGCTACCTACTAAAACACACCATGATTCTTTTACGAGTAAAATAAATCAATTATATGCAAACTCCATTACACCAACACTAATTCTTAAATATGGAATAAATCAATCATATACAAATTTCATTAATAAAATTATATTCAACACAAAATAAAAATGACTAATAAGAAAAAGAAAAAGTCAAATATAGAAAAGAAAACAATAATTTCAAGACTATTGTAATAATTATCTTAATATTAGACTACTTTACCTATTACTGATTAATTTTATGTTAAAATTTTAATCTATCAAAGACAAAACATATTTTTTTTATAATTGTTGTCTTGAAATAAAAGTTATTATGAATTAAAATTACCATGAACACTTTATTGAAGAGGAGAAGTGCTCATAGTCTCACGTCACGATAAGTTATAGTTAAAATATTTGTTAACTTCATATTATCAGATGATTTTATATTAGAACCTTAACAAAATGTTGTTTAGATTATAGGTTTTTATTATATATAATATTTAGTTTAAAAAATAAAACAATTATAATAAAATAAAATATTAATAAATGATAAAAAATAGCATAATAAATTAAAATCAACCCATACATAATCAATTATTTTGAAAATAAAACGTGATGGATGTTTAATATTTAAAGAGATAAGATAATCATAAATAAAATATAATTTTATAAATTTGTCTTACTGTTAACCTAAATAAATCTTGAACTCTGAAACTTCACCATTACTATTGTTAATGCTCCTTCCATTTCAAACTATCTAAATACTTATCTAAAATATGATATAATTTCTATCATCTTGATAGTAAAATTTAACATTAATTATGTGTTGACAAAAGTAATTTAAAAAAATGTAAAAATAATTTATTAGTTATCATGTCATAATATTTGTTTAATTTTATAGAAAATCATTCGTAAAAAATCTTAGTTGTGAAAGAACTATTGATGATTTTAAAAATACAGAAAAACAATATTTAAAGAATTTAAAGAACATTATTTTATCAAAGGGCACCAAAAAGAAATACATGCCGCATATATACCCCTAAAAAGCTTGCACGTAGAAAGAAGCGTTTGCACTTTTTGGTAAAAGAATATTCAATACCTTTTTCTTTTTCTTTAAGTATTAAACTAAATCCTTCGTATGTGGTTGTTTTTATCAACTTGACACTTTTCATTTTCATAAAATAATATAATCACTTTTAAATTAGTTGGGAAAGTGACATCATGGTATTAAATGTCACGGCTACAATTTCTTTTTTCTTTTACTTTTCCTCGTTCAATTATTTATGTAAAGAGTGCATATTGCCGATCATGCCAAGAGTTGATATTCTGTTTGAAATTCCTATGTTCAAGTTGAAACATCTCTAATAAAATTTATTTAGAATATTTTAAATGATTTTATGAATAAAATTTACATTAAAACAATTGTTTTTAATGAACTATTTTCACTTATTTAATTGTGGGAGGAGAAGTGAAGATGAGAAGAGGTTTAAGTTTTGATGGTTGGATCAACCTACTCCGCCGCAAAGAAACGTGTGCATGAGTGGTACCTAGTCATCGCCTACCTATTTCTCATCAAAATCCTATGCAAACCAAAACTTCTTTTCACAATATTAGAATTCATTTAGATTGCATCACTGAAAAGGCTTCATGTTTCTCCGGAACTAGACACCAAGGGTTCTTCCCAATGACTCAAAATCATTCTCTCCACCATCCATGTAAATAAATTAAAACATAAAAGACACTGCTCCTAATTCATTATAATCACACGTCGATGCTTCCTATGTTTTATCAACTCCTTGTCTAGGACGGCTTAGCCCCTCTTCTAATAACAACACCTCTCGTCTTTATTATTAGTTATAAAAGGCGTGCTAATTATCTTTTGTCGTTTCTATTACACTAAAACCCTATATTAATTTATTCAAATCGGTACTTCCTTTCTTTAATCAAGCACTTCTTTTCATTCACTTTCCTCTACTAACTTTCAACAACTTAGTAAAATAAACGATTTGGTGACGTGGCCATTATAAAGTTGACGGGGTAGTCAAATTAAGATTTTGTTGCCATAATGGGTAATCATTTCCACCTCTTACATCCACGCCAACAAACCTTTTATTTCCTAAAGTAAAAGTTACTAACAAATGGGATTCGAATAAAGACAAAATTCATTGTTATCCTTTGTTAGATGGGTATATCCATAACTCAACCTCTCTACCCATGTTATGCCCAAAAATCTAAATTCAGTTCAGGTTTCTAAAATGAAAATTAAGCCTAATAAGAGCTTAAAATTTTGTAGTCATTACTTGAAAAGTTGTTTCTTACATTTGTTTATTAATTGATAATGTAATTTTTTATACTGAATAATATGTAAACGTTATGTTAAAATCATCGATGACTTAATGACTTTTTGGACTACTTTCCATTTACATGTCATCACACATGCATTCAACTCTTTCGCCCATTTGTGGCACTATCATTTTCAACTATACACCTTAACATTCGTAACTCTATTCATTACTCATGAATATATGACGGTGTTGCTCACATGTTACACCGCACCAGTGGTGGTCACCAAAACACTTTAATGTTTACTTTGTAGAGAAAGGTTGAGGATATACAGGCTCTTAAAGTAGCATACTGCATTATCATGGAGGACATTTGAGAATGGTCCTAAGCAAATCCACCATGGCTGGGTTAGATTTTGGTCATTCATCTTAGTCATTATACCACTCCTGGATTATGGTCTCCACTATTAAAATTCTAGTTTAGGGTTGGTGCTAATGTATTAATTCAACTTTGGAGTATGCTTTTTGTATTAACCGTACTGATTCAATGAAAATGAGAAACAGAAAACCATGAAGTAAGTCCTGAGAACTTGCCTTTGCCTGGATCTGGCTTTGGAAATTATTGTATGATATAAATTATGTTGATGAAACTTTCTTATCTACGTCTTACATGCATACAATTGAGAGATTGTCATTTTTTAATAGATTTAATTTATCAGATAATAATACTATTATTTGAAAACACCATAATTAGATTCATGTTTTTTACGTTGGTATTATTATTCATAATCAAATTCAAATTGACATGATTGTGCTCATTGATCAACAAAATTCATAAATACGATAGACTAAAATAATATAAGTTTATTTGATTGTATAACAATTTCATTAATGTTAAAAAAATTATATACTGATTTCTTAATTTTCTTAATAGGCTGAACTACACTTCAATACTTAAAAGGTTAATTGTTTTGAAATAGAAGAAAAAAATCTTAAATTTATATTTATTGAATTAAGTGTCAATAAGATTTTATGACTTGACATGCTATTTTACATGAATAATGAGTTAGAAACAAAGCATATAAAGAACTACGATGTTTATGGTTTCTAAAATTCATAAAGTCTAGGTTAAGCATGATTTATTAATTTCTGGACTTAGTCTCTATCAAAGTACACCATTGACACCTTTTATATCTCGAAAAACATAATTGTAAACCTTTAATAATGGACCAAGAAAATTTTGGGGACAACTTAAACAGAAACTAGGATATTCTTCATCGAATCTTTTATTTGTCTAAATTTTGTTACTTAGAACAATAAATTGAGGGATGCATTTTGACTCTATATTTAATTATTATAAGAATATATTATTTCTGTTGAGCGAACTCAATGTGTTCTTTTTAATAGAAATCAAAATTCATATTTTTAAAGTACTGAAAAAATGGATTTCTTTTCCCTCTCTCTATATGTAATACGAGGAATAAGTTAAGGATTGAATTCCGACCAATGAACAAAGATATTTGTTAACTTTTTCATTTTATTAATACAATAATAATATTTTGCAGCTATATTAATTCATTTGATATATCAGCTTGGATTTGAGACAGAAACGAGCTTATTGGCGTTTGCTCGTGATGACTAGGGAAGATGTGGGTTACAGAGGTTGCACGTGACGCCTGATTTGTCGAGGGTATGGAGGACGTGAACAGTGATCTCTGTTCACCATTAATGTTGAAACTCTGAAGTGGGTGTAGTTGCGGTTCTTGGCCAAAAATCAGATGATGGACATGACTTTGCTTCGGTGAAGAATCAATGAAGATCGTTGAGTTGTTCCGAAGGAAGGAAACACGTGGAATAATATCTAATTTATGTTTTATATAAAGCTTATTATAGTTACAATATAATTTGTAGTTAATATAGTCGCTAATGGAAAAGTATTGAAACCAATTAGGAGGTATAATATTTATTTAATCAAACCTAGATATTGTGAAGGAAGAAGTCCCACATCCGTGGGAACTTCAATTGGGGGCTCTCCTCCTTCTTATAAAAGGAGCCCCTCCCCCCTTATTTCATACATCCCAAATATTTCTCCTTCTTTCTCTTTTACTTTCCTAGTATTGGTAATTTCCAATTGTAAAAGGAAAGAGTGGTCATTATAAAATTTTCATTTTTGCCTATTGTCAGGGTTATTTTTCTCGTCTCTATTTTAGTTGTGTGTATTTATGCTGGTACTCTGATCCTAACAGTGGTATCAGAGCTGCGTTCGAGTCCCGTTGCGCTAGTCACTAGAATAGTGTTGGTAAAATTCTGAGTATGCTCTGTGGTTGCAGTTTAATCTGATCTTCCACATCAGTAAGGAGTTGTTACTGGAAAAGGTGTGGTAGTGTGAAAGTACTATTGAGGAAAGTTCCGCTAGGAAAGACTTGGTACTTAAGCGTGTCCATTAGTGACCCACCTCTCTTTCCTGGGAACCTACTTGGTGTACTTGGTTCACGGCCTACTACTATTGTTCCAAGTAGACAATACTATTCATAAGTGAAAGTTGCATAAGTGGAAACACAACCATGGCGAAGAAAGTACGAGATAGAGAAGTTCAACGGGAACAATTTCTCGTTGTGGAAATTGAAGATGAAGGCAATCTTGAGAAAGGACAATTGCGCAGAAGCAATTGAGGGAAAACCTGTAGAAATGGCGGATAAAGATTGGAAGAAAATTGACAACAACGCTATTGCAAATTTACACTTGGCAATGGCAGACTCAGTTCTATCCAGTGTTGTGAGAAAGATTCTGCAAAGGAGATTTGGGATGCCCTCATTAAATTATATGAGGTGAAGTCACTTCACACAAGGATATTCCTCGAAGAGGAAACTCTATACTCTTCGGATGAGTGAGTCCACATCGGTGACGGACCACATCAACCAACCGAACACCTTGTTTGCCCAATTAGCGGCAGAGAAATTTCAACATAATTGAGAATGAGCGTGCGAGCTTTTACTTCGAGCTTGCCGGACTCGTATGATCAACTCATCATCAACATTACAAATAATAATATTGAAGGACAACTACACTTTGACGATGTTGCCGGAGCTATTCTAGAAGA